ACTTGTACGCCGCCTTCCGGGCCTCATGTTCGAACTGCAGGATCAAAGACCAAGTGGGCTTGCGGCCGTCACCAGTAAGCAATCCTGCCACCTGCGACCCGAGGATGTAGTCACTGAAGCGCCTGAAGATATCAGTCAGGTTCCTCGAAAGCCAAGGGCGGCTCGAGTGCTTGGTAGCCAAGAAGTCCCAAGCTAAGCCGATGCGCCGGTGACGAAGTCGCAGCTCCTCGGGAGTTTGAGGCAAAGAGGTTAAGGTTTTGCCCGGCTTCACCTTCAAGACATTCGTCATCGGATCGATGACCGCCGAATAAGTCTCGAGTTCACTATCCTCCAATGAAGCGACTTCTTGAAGGTTTTCAACGATTGGTTGATTTGATTCGATCTGCTCCAGCTTCGCAGCCAAAAGCGAACGCGAGGGCACCTCTTTGTCCTTGAGCTTTCCCAGGACTGTCTCGACAGCCACTCTCATGCTGTGCTGCTCATTAGGTTGCAGCAACCTCTGCTGGGTGCCCAATCGAGCTTCCGCGCGATTCTTCTCACTGACCTCCAGATGAAGTTTCACAGCCTCCCATGCACTGAGGATGCGAGCCATCTCCAGCCTTTGGGCGACGCCGTCCTGATACGGTAAAGGGAGGTCAGCAGCCAGGGCCCCCCGCACCTTTTCGCGGTCCTCATCAAGCCCGGCAAATAAGGGGATCGAAATGATCCCCAAGGCCCCAAATCGAGCCTGCCACTTTGGTTCCACCTCAGCCTGATCCAGGTGGAACCGGAGATCGGTAGTCAGGCGTTCCAGATTTGCAAGCTGCTCGGGCGTCATTGGGTCCAGAACAATCTAGCTTGGGCCCATCCGAAGTTGACCAGACCGGCCCCCTTCTGTCTGATCGGTTCCTGTGCAATTGCACAACCGATCAAGCTGCGCACACGAAGTCTTTGTTTCCAACTCCATCCGATGATGCATTGTGCAGCGAACAAGACAATCACGACCGAGGAAACTTCCCCGATCAAAGTCGATAAGCACGACTTCCAATCCGCATGTTGAACCATGGAATGTAATTTCCACGAATCAACATCTTGACACCACTACATGCAAACAGCATGTTGAATCGCGGAATAAAATCTCCACAAACGATCCCAGCCTACAAAGGCTCCAAAGAAATGTAAAACACACGATAAGATCACCGACACAGCCCCACGATAGCTCGGTGCAGCCTTCTTGTCACAGGCGACCCAGTCCCACTCTCAGGAACTGGAGCTGCTACTGTCGGAATGATCCTCGAGCGATGTGCTCGACGAGCCTTCATCTGAAGCCTCAGCCTCCTCAGAAGGAATCACTGCTGAGGGTTCCGGCTTGAAACAGTGCTTGCACTCAGTATCATACTCGACCCCCTCTAAGGAGTCGTAAAACTCGCAACGGATCAGATCACTTGGTTTGGTCCCGCAGCCGCCCTTTCGATGAAGTCGTCGAAGCGACCTCTTGCCCAAAACAGCCACAAAGAATTTAAAGTCCTGCGCAGCAGGTCCCGGATCAGCCGCCGGTGCCGGGCGATCGACCATAGGCAAAGTTGGGCGACTGCTAATAAAGGACAATCTCCATCCCATCCAAGAGGCAGGAATAAGCAAGGACTCGGATAAGCCCCTCGCAGCTTCCTCTCCGCAACCGTTGTCCTGAAGCCGCTCCTGAGCTTCACTAACCCCGACCTTGCAGAGTTCGATTGCAGTTGCAAGCGCATACACGACAAATGCCTGCAGTGAGCTGACCACTTTCCATGCGGATCTCACATACACATCAGCGGCTTCCACGATATGCCACCGTCCAAGATAGTCTCTCCTCTCACGGTCGATCCCAGCCCAAGCCGCCAAAGTAGACATGCAGCTTCTCTCTGAATGTTCAGTGAAAACTCTGATCAATTCAGCATCCAAAAGCTTAGCGTCCGAGAGAAACCAATCCCCCTCATAATACGCAGGAGACCTCAATGAAGCCAGCACCAGCCTCGACATCGCCGCCAAATCGTTGTACGAAGCCAGCACCGGCCTGCAGCCCTGAAGATTGCGGGTGGGGCGCGGGACCATGTAGTCCCGCTTAAAGCCAAACTCAGCTCCCCTCCAAATCTTGAAGCCCTGCCTGAGCCAATCCTTGTTAGCCAGCCAAGCATCAGCCGAGACGAAGAAAGGGAGAAAGCGCACCTTCCTCCCTGCCCCACTTGTCTTGGTTCTGTCAAAATGTCCCCTGAGACCCGACTCCGAAAGAACCATGGAATCAAAGGAGGCCCCCTGAAGGTCGTCAGATCTGCTCGATGTCCAAAATTTGAACAACTTGATCCACGCATAAGCACGCAGATACTTCGGAACATCCACTGAAGAAATCATCAGTTCCAGCGAGATTACAACGAAGATCGGAAGTGGAACTGCTCTCCTGGTAGGAGGAGCCCCGACCTCCAGCTCCGCGGTGCGCGTGTTGACCAAGTTCAAGACGATCGGCTGTAGCGACATGGTCGCTTCTCTCCTGATGCCTCCCGCCTTTTCAAAGAAGGCAGTGGCAGAAAGCACTGACTTGAGGCGAGTCTTGGCGCAAGGCTGCTCCCGAAGCTCCTCAATGTAATCCAGCAAAAGACCAACATGAGACGGAAAAGGTCGCCCCTCAGTGGCCATGCACCATGCTGAAAACTTCCCCCATTCGCGAATGCGGGACCTGAGAGTGGAAGAACGAACGTTGCCCGAACTGGTTAAGAGGATCTTGTCAGGATCTGTAGCAAACGCGGCATGAGAACATACAGGCATTCGGCACTCCTTCAATGCAGAAACAAGCCGAGTCCTCCATCGGTTCAACTCTGAGGCCTCAACACGGGCCCTCGAATGAGACTCAGAAGAAAGAGCAAGCTCCTTATCCCTCCTAGTAGGCCAACGAAGAAGAAGCCGTTTGGCCCCCGACTTCGTTGCAAGCCACTCATGTGAAGGAGGAGCCGCCTGAAACAGATCCTTCAAGGGTGACCCGACATGATGAATCTGATGTAGCCCTTGCATTGCACGAGCTCTCCAGGCTCTGCCGGCCTGACCATTCGCGTCATCTGTAAGGTGCACCAGAATGCGTAGGCAGGACAACCACCCCACCGATCCAGAAGCAAAACCCAACTTTTCCAGAAAAGCAGATAAATCCCGCTCATCCACAAATAAGGTTGCAAGCAGTGAAGAGCCGGGCTGTGTCCCATCCTTGCTGATCGCAAATCGGACCTTCCTCGGTAAACGGTCCCAAGATAAGACCTCGGAACTGGCTTCGGAAGGAGCACCCCCCGAATCGACTGATGCCTCGGCAGCAGCGCCTGCAGAAGACATAAAGTATCAGCCCGCCGGGACTGAATTCGCCTCCATGCAGCAGCTCGCCGGATGCTCGAATAAAAGAAGGCCTCTAGAGGAGCCCGTACACCACTAGACGTGTCGTGGAGTGTCCGCCAGCCCTATCCGACAACTCACTCCGCTCGCAGCTTTCACCCGAACTCGCGCTCAGGGTTACTCACCACTTCCCTCGCGGGAGTGCCAGCAGTCAGGCCCGGAACTCACACTATGCTAGTGGATCTTACAAAGGCCCTTCAAGAAAATTTCACGGTGACTGCAGCAGAGCCACACGACTACAGGCACACGACATGGATTCTCAAGGCACCTTCGTAAAGAGATGCAAAGTGAGAAAAAGGAAAACCCGTGTGCCAAACCCCCCACGTGAAATTAAATGACAAAGCTCTGTGAAAACAGAAAATGTTTTCGTGATAAAGGCACACGAAAACAAAACTCAGATTCTCAAAAACTCACTTTTCCTTTCCGTTCGCAGCAACATGGTAATTGCCTTGCGGGGGCAGTCGGTAGGCAAGCCATATATTATGGCCCGGCTTGAAGCTACAGCAACCGCTCTTCTGAGACAGCTCAGCGCTGAACCTACACAAAACAGCAAAACTAGTTCAGAGCTCGACTCGCAGCGGACTGCAAAGCAGTCGAACCGTGAAGTGCATGCAAAGCAACAAGATGAGAATCACTGCATACAGTACGGCTACCGGCTACAGCCTAAGGCGTGGCTACGGCTTCACTCGCTCAGAAAACTGTCGACTTACACAGGCACTGGTCACAAGTGCTTTGCAGGCGATTGCAGGCAGCGGAACTCTGTTGAGAGACGGCGCTTGCTGCAAAGTGCTGTAGGTCACTGGGATGGCGGGTCAAACATAGAACCTGAGGATTAAAGGCGCTACGTCAAATACCCACCTCGTCTGTGGTATGCGAGGACTGTCAAAAGTAGTGCAGCCGCTAAACTACATTTGACCACCCAGGATGTCTCCCTAGAACCTCTCAAGGCAGCAAACGGCTATCGCTACTTGCATTGCACGGCCAAACCCCTCACCGAGCAACGAGAGCAAGCTAGGGTTGTATGGCACGAAGACACACTAAGTAACAGTTGGCTTCAATCCAGGGCTTCTGACTAGCCTTGACTGGTTTAGCAGCTGTGCCATCGTTGCTCAAGAGAAGCACTGCTGGCTCACCGGCGGTGGCCATTGCACACTGGTAGTGACCTGAGTGCACGGTGTTGCCCTCGTGCACCACAGTGAAGCACAACTTGTAAGGGACTGGCTCAGTGCAAAGTGAGTCCGAAGTGAACCGAGGCACCAGGATCCTAGCATTAGGGCTTAGGGTAACCGGGGTTTTAAGCTTGACAGCCTCAGTGTCGTTGTGCCTGTAACGCTTCAGCTGCAGGAGCAAAAACCGTGGTGCTCGCGTAAAGGCCAAAGTAGCCTCTTGGCGGCTGTGCCACGCCTCAATCAGCTCTTGAAGGGAGATCGTTGACTCAGGTATGTCTATAGGGAGCGAGGGCGGGACACTTCCGCGGTCTCGGCATTCGACGATGCTTCCATCATTAAGTCTAGCCTCCCATACACCCTGGAATGCGGGAGGCTGCAACCTGTTGAACAAGAAATCGGTGAACTCTGCACAGTCATGTTGTTGAGACAGGTTACGCCAGCCTCTCAGAAGGCCAGCCCAGTTGAGCAGGCCTGGTACGTAGACAGGTTTGCGCGCAGTACCTGTGTGGAGGGCTTTGAAAGCCGAGGCCTGAGCACCAAAACAATCATCGGCTTTCTCAGCAATCTCACCTGCCCAGAGAAGGCCGGTGAGGGACGCATTCAGATAACAGACGTTGTGTGGGTTACGTAAGTAGACAGGAGTAGGCCTCAGCTTCGGTTCGCGGGTTAGGCATGGCCGCCGGAGTTGCTGCTGTGCGGATTCGTTGCTCTGAGGAGGTTGTACGCCTCGCGCTGAAGAACCTGTGCCAACGGCTGGCGACGAAGTCTCTCCTTGGCAAACCGGGTGCGCATAAGCTGGGTGGCATTGCAATCTGTCAGGAGGGCCATCGTGGAGAAGAGATTTTCTGCCTCCTGGCCCCTGTTGCTCACAAGCATCAGAAACGTGAGGATGTTGGACTCGTAAGTCTCTGCGAGTGGGCGGGTCGCCCTGAATCGATGTATCAGGCTCGAATCTCCGAGCAGCTTCAAGCTGTGCGCTACAGCGTCGAGGATCTTCGAGTGGGCCACCGGTGTCTTGCTCGTATCCACTATGCTCACCTTCTTCTCGCTGTCCCACTTCGCGTAAGTCCAGCATGGAGTCGCGTTCGTCGTCTCCTGCATCCAGCCTGCCTTCACGCAGATCTCCTTGTTCTTCGGCTCGATGGCGTGGCTCAGGCGTTCGTGGAATTCGGTCATGTAGGCCAGCAGCAAGGTGGAGCGAAGGGACAGATCCAGTTTCTGTGGCGTGTTCTCCTTGATCTGCTGCCATCGCTGTGCTACGGCATAGAAGTTGTTGGCGAACGGCTGGTATGGGCTCGAGGCTAGCTCCGGGTCCGGCTTGGTCTCCATGTAGAAAAGGAAGGCGCTGTCTGCCCGTGTGGCGGCGATGTCGTCCTCCTGTCGCAGACAAAGGCGGGTTAGGATGGCCAGCAGGCGACGGACTTCCTCCCCCGATATCTGGTCGGTGAGCTGGTAGTCCTCCGCGTTCGTGAACCAGTTTTGGCTGTCGTTGTCCTTGTCCTCGCGGATGCGCTTGTCCGGGCGGTAGCCGCTGCCCTTCCCATCTGGCTTCTGCCACTTCGGTCGTCGATCGTCGGGATTGTGTCGTCGGGGTCGGTCTGTCTCCATTGGCGTCGTCGCGAGTGAGGGCAAATCCTGTCCGAACATCTCCTTGACTAGCGCTGCCGGCGTCGTCATGTTGGGACCTGTTCGTGATTAGTTCAGGTCGCGTGCTCAGGAGATGCAAGAGACATGCTTGATAGTAGGCAGTACAAGTGTGGGTGTGGAACGCGCCTTTCTGAGCGCCACCTGGCACAAACTTGCAAGCCTTGCAGGGCCCTCGGTATTTGAGCCGATGATGATGCTTGATTTCGGCAACAAGATCAGAGTGGGATGCCCATAGATCAGCGTGAGTTCTGCGCAGGTGTGACTTGAAGCCACCTTTATCAGGCAAACACCACTGTGTGCAAATTGCGCAGTACTGTTTGAGGTTTTCACCTTCGGTCTCGGCAAAAGTAACCCAGTCATCGCGGCAAGCCTGTAAAACTTCAGGTCGTTGAAACATGGGGGTATTAGGGGTAATGTAAGGCTGCGTCGGGGCAGGGTTTTCGAATGATGCCGCTGAAGTCTCAGGCATGTCAGCCAGCATAGGCCCCGCAGCGGGCTGCTCAGCAGGCCCGGTGGCTGAAGCAAGAGTCATGACTGGCTGGGCTTCTTCTTCGGGACCTTCGGGTGCATGAGGTGTAGGCGTGTGTGTGGTAACAGCCGGACCGACGGCATGCAGGACTGGGCATGCAGACAAGATATGGCCTTTGAAGCCGCTCCATTTGCGAAAGGCATAACCACAATGCCTGCACGTTGGCATGCCAGCGACGCTATGCTGAGCAATGTCCACCTCATTCCGAGCTGTGCCTAGTTGGAGGTCAGGTCTAACAAAGCTGATTTTATGTGAACGTGCACAGTGTGTGCGCATCGCGTGCTGGCTGTCAAAGGTTCTGTCACAGTGTGGGCATGGGAAAATGGACAGTGTAGGATGTACTGGTTTTTGGGATGTTTGTGTGGGCACGGGGTTTAGGTAGGATTGGTAGACAGCAGTTTGCCATTCTATGTCATCCGTAATGCCTGGGTAGCTGGGCTTGGTGCGGGTGAGGGTATCCAGTCTTCGTTTGGAGGCATCTAGAAGGAAAGCGTCAATACCAGTGTACCCAAACTTCTGGAAAATGACTTCGATGGACTCATTGTCCTCCTTCCGGGGGTTGCCTGTGATGCATCGCACATGTTTGGACTCAAGGCTACGAAGTCGGCTGAGGGCCTGGGGTGAAGTGCCAACTACGGCCAAGCCATGACTCATAGTGCTACGAATGCATGTGCGATACACGCGAAGGCGATGCTGTAAACTGAGGCCTTGCTTCTTGAAAAGGACTCGGCCAAGCCGGGCTACGGCGGCCTTTGCCTGACGAATACGCAGGTCCGCTGTCCGGGTTTCGAATGCATCAAAGGACATAACGGTGCCTAAGTAGGGTATGGTGTTGGCTAGCGCAACATCAATCGGCTGAAAGGGCGTGCCAAGTCGAATGAACTTTTGGTCGTGGCGCCTGAAAGTACGCGCCTTGACCCACTTCGTGAGGGTGCTGCCGGAGGAGCGGAGAAGCAATGACGACTTATCGGGGTTGATATGCATCCCTGCTTCCTGTAGGGTTGTAAACAAACAGCCTATTCGAACACACATGTGGACCAAGTCCTGCTTACAGTCAAGATCAAAGGTAGCTAGGAAATCGTCTGCGAATGCGGTGATAGCACGTTCAATCCACTGAGTCGGGGACCCAAGACTGGGAAATTGCTCGAGGCGTTTCGCGAGCTGGTGTAGCATGTAATGTGTCACGCACACCCAAAGGGTGGGTGACAATGTGCAACCTTGCCTGATGCCGTTACGCAAGTGAATCACCCCAGTGTGTCCTTTATGCGTAACATGATACTGTGTATGATGCAATGCAAGCACCAGCTGGACGGTGTCCTCGCAAATGCCCAAGTGCCTCAACGAGGACGCGAGGTACGAGTGGCTCACGTAGTCGAACGCCTTACTCATGTCGATACTTAGCAAGCCTCCTCCTGTGATGGGGGAGCGGGTTTTCCCTGCCTTGCGATCTCGGACCTCGATTCGGGAGGACTGCAGCTTATCACGGACGGCCGCACAAAAGCGTGCCGCACGGCTGATGGCGCTAGCTGTGCTCCGTGCTGGTAAGTATGCAAACTGAGGCGTGCATGCGAGTTTGTCCAAGATTTCATCTTGGATGCGGGATTTGATGACACGCGCTACGCACTTCCCTAACGGATCCTGCAGCGCTATTGGTCGGAGGTTGGCAGCACAGGTCGGGGGTTTACTGGGTTTCGGGAGTGGCTTTAACCAACAGTCCGTCCAAATGCTAGGGATATACAGCGGCCCCGGGGAAAGGTGGGAATTTATCAATGGAAGGACATGACGGGACAGGGTTGGGGCAAGGCACTTCCAAAGCTCAGGTGGAGCGGATCCTGGCGGGAACGCGCGCCCACCTCTCTGTTTGGATAAAGCAACTGTAAGCTCTTCCTGTGTGAAAGAGTGCTCGTATTGCAGTGCGCAAGCCGGTTGGGGTTCGGCAGCGTCGCGACTGAAAACTCCGGTGTAGTACTGTATGATGGCATCATGTTCAGCCTCGGGCGAGATCAGTTGACCTGCGGGTGATCGGATGTGGATGTTCTCACGGGGACCCTTGGGGGAGAGCTTACGGATATGATAATACAGTTTATGCATGTCCCCGGCTTGCGCTGCAATTTCGGCTGCTTCGAGCTCAAAAAGTACTCTAGCTCTGCGGTTGGCGAGGCCTTGCTTACGGAGGGCAGTCTGGATTTCTTTAAACCTGGCATGAGCTCGAAGCGTTGCTGAGGTGTTTTGCAGCTGTGTCAGGGCAGGGTTCCCGGCTCGAGCAGTCTTATATTCATGGTAAGCAGCCCACATTTGCCTGACGGTATGCTCTACTTGAGCGGGCCTGCTGGGGTCAGCACTCCTAGGAATGTCCTTACGGTCTGGAGCGGACCCTGAAGGAAAAAGGCGCTCACAGTGTCTCAAGAGGACTGCGTTGACGCCCTCCGGTGTTGTGGGCCTGGCAGCGCTAAGGGCACAGTCGACATCCGATGCGAGTTGCTCAAGCACAGGGTCCTTGCACCGGATAGCCTCAAGGAGTCGAGTCCTGGAGAAGGTTTGGCTGGGGGCTGTTCGGGTCGGGGGGGTTGCAAATCGAGTGTCAAGGCGCAAGTCTGCAACTATGGCGAAGTGTCGGCCCCCACCTCGCCAAGGTGCGAAGTTGATGGCACAATCCGTGCAGGCTTGCTTAGCCTGCGCATCGGTTTGCGGCAAGGATGCAAAGATGAAATCTATTTGACTCCTCTTCGGGCACTGGCCGTCGAGGCGGTATGTGTAGGCATCCTTGCTGGGACCCCAAGTGTTGAGGGCACAAAGGTTGGCAGCAATCATGGCCTGAACAAAATCATTGGAATCCGGATAGACAAAGTCAGAGGCATGCAGCCCTGTGCCGATGTGCTTCGGCTGGGCCTTCAGTGCACAATTGAAGTCGCCACCGATGCATTTGACATTTCTGGCCGGGAGGCCTTGCACAAAAGTGTTGAGCCTTCGCCAGTATGAAAGCCTCTTGTCAAGCCTCTGTTTGGCAGGATCTGCGTCCCAACTCCATTGATAGCAGCACGCTACGTCGACATGACGAGCCTGACGTCCTTGTCCTACGGGGAACCTGACATGGAGGAGACGGCCGGGAACAACAATGCAATGCTGAAGTGAGCTGGCGGCGGCCACACGGTGGGAAATCAGAACCGCGACTCCTGCCCAGCGATGGCTGGAGTCAGGCGAACTAATTACAGACCATCCTGGTAATTGAAATTCGCTGGGCTCCTTCCCTAAACCAAAATGTGTTTCCTGCAAGAGGAGGAGGTCAAATCGATGACCGTTGTCCTCCAGCCACACTTTGAAGGTATCATAAGATGCGGTACAAAAGCCTCCAAGGTTGAAAGAGCACACCCTGAGTCGTTGACCTGCAGTCTGCTGGCGGACTGTGTCACGGCGCTGTGCACTCGACTGGCCTGACAATGGTGCTTGGCGGCAACCGAGGCTGGCTGCTGTACAAAGCCTACCTCGATATCTGGTGGTGCCTTCTGCAGAGGCAAGTGCTCTTCGGCAAGCTCGCCTGTATGCACGCTTCCTACTTTGAATTCGTGAAGATGGGAAAGCCCCGCTACCTGGCTTCGCTGGTCCTTCTGTGCTGATGTTCAGGACCTGGGAGTTAGCTCCCGCAGCACCGGCAGCACGTGCTGCAACCCTCGCATCTGCGGAGCTTGCATGTTGAGATGCAGGCGTGTTCGTGGGCGCTCCGCCCAGGGACTTGGGACCCTGGCGGCCCTTCGAGCTAAAACTATCGGCAGGGTCTATGCTGAGTGCTGTGTCTCTTGGTGCAATGGACTGTGATTGCTGCTGTTGTTGTTGTCGCCGTGGTTCCAAACCAGGCGGAGCAAACAGACATGCGTGAAGTGAAAGCTGCATGAAAATGTAAAAGCACGTGAAAAATGCAACCATGCGTGTCACCATGTGAAAACTACGCAGCTACACGTCTCAGAGCACCAACGCCCGTAAAGTCTGGGTAGTGATGAGCACCTGCAATCTACCCCGCCCACTCACCTACAAGAAGCTCGGGCCGAGATGCTTTCAAAAACTCACTCCGATGGACACGTCCACCTCGCACGACCGCTCGGAGATCCCAGCCATCGGAGGTGGCCGCAGCTCGAAGACGCCACAGGGCGCTATTCAGCAGGCCCGCGGCCTGAATCGAGAGAGAAGGCTGTGCCTGCAAACCCAGTGAGATGTCCGCAAGCGAGAAGAGCAGGCGAAAAGTGCCCCTATATGTGCCCGGATACGTGAACATTCGCGGATCAAACTCGCCGCGTCTGGCCGGAAGGATTCCACTCTCGAAGCCCGCCATCAGTCGGTCAGCAATGGTAATCTGGGGTCGGCGCACCAGGGCAGCCGGAACCTTGCATGTGACTCGCACCTCAATGTGCTGCCCGTCACGAGTTGGAGTAACGTTGGTGAGCTGCAGAAGTGGAGCGGCCGTAGGGTCGTCAGCTAATGCCCGTGTGAGATAGAGCAGCAGCTGTAC